GCGTGAGCGATGCCAACTGAGTACCACCCCGAGGTTGTCGAAAGGCGAGGGTGAGAGACCAAGGCCGAAAAAAGCGAGGCCACTTCTGTCACCGGAAGGTGCCCTGGTCCGACTACCAAACTGCAAAGCAACGGATCGCAACGTGTTGCTGTCGCACACTGGGAGCGAAGCAAACTGAGTACAACCCCGAGGTCGACGAAAGGCGAGGGTGAGAGAACAAAGCTGAAATATTGCGACGCCACTTCCGTCCGCGGAGGACGCCCTGGTCCAGATACCAACCTGCAAGTGAACAGTGCGTCACCGAGGAAGCTAGGTTGTGTGGTAGAACCGTTTATTTGACGAACTGACAGTGGAAGTTGGGGTGAGCGAGCAATCGTTAGCCTTCGACGGAAGGGAAGGGCTGTGGCAGCGGAAGTGCTGGGGGATGCAAAACACTGGCGACCGCAGTGTGGTGACGAGACCAAGGGACCGATTGCGGTGCTGAGGCGACGGAACTGCCATGCCGAATCCTACTAGTGGGAGCGCAGCTGGGGAGAGGACAGGGGAGTTCGTATCACATATCTGGGTGAAGCAACTAACGTGCAACGCACCTGGTGAATCCGACGAGCAGCTAGAGAGGGAAAGAAGGCCAATTGCGTTTGCAGGCAGAAGGTGCAGCGACGACGTGCGACAACTTGTTGTCAATCGCAGCTAGCAGCGACGCTGATTGAGTGGCCGGTATACTACCTTTGCGAGTCGTAGAATCCAGGGGAGCGGTGCTGCAGGAGTGTACCTTGGTTGTGGTTGACCGGGCTGTACGAGCTTCCTCAAGCCGCAGCGATGCTGCTGGTGGCGAACCTTCGGGGAGTTGCCGGGGAGTTGCGAAATAATGGTTTAGCAACCTGGTTGATTCTGCCAGTATTAGTCATACGCTCGTCTCAAATATTAAGCCATGCATGTCTAATTATAAATATCTTACTTTGAAACTGCGACCGGCTCATTATATCAGTTAAAATTTATTTGATAGTCCCTTAATACTTGGATAACCGTAGTAATCCTAGAGCTAATACATGCGTCAATGCCCTTCTGGGGTAGTATTTGTTAGATGGAAACCAACCCATTCGGGGTGATGTGGTGAATTATAATAAGCTTGCGGATCCCATGGCTTCGGCCGGCGATGGATCATTCAAGTTTCTGCCCTATCAGCTTTGGATGGTAGGGTATTGGCCTACCATGGCTTTAACGGGTAACGGGAAATTAGGGTTTGATTCCGGAGAGGGAGCCTGAGAGACGGCTACCACATCCAAGGAAGGCAGCAGGCGCGTAAATTACCCAATCCTGACACAGGGAGGTAGTGACAATAAATAACAATGCCGGGCCTTTATAGGTCTGGCAATTGGAATGAGAACAATTTAAATCCCTTATCGAGGATCAATTGGAGGGCAAGTCTGTACGCGACTTCCCCAACCAAAGGCGGGGGCGCTGCTGTCGCAGGTCGCGGGCCTTGTTGGTTCGTCAGAGCTGGACGGTGGCGCTGAGGGACCACACCGGCGTTCGAGGCAGAATATTCACGAGTGAAGCTTTTTGCGGGCGCTGCTGGGTTTTTCACCGCAGGTTGTTGGAGTTGCAGAGATGAGCCGACGAGTGTGTGGCTGCTTGGGGAGTTTTGTATGGTGATGAAGTTCTTGAGGCGGGGGCGCTGCTGATTACTACGGGCTGCAGAGCCTGTGGAAGTTGGTCGGCGCTGGACACGAGGACCACAGTGGCTGGACCTCACCAGAATCACACGCAGAGATTTAGGAGAAATACGGCGCTAGTAGAGCCCACCAAGTTATCTGTACGAGTGTCCACCGCAGAGAGCAAAGTCGCAATTGGGAGTCCAAGGGTAGATTGCTAGGCCGTTGGCGCGGATTGCCCGACGAGGTTCACTCTGAAGGCTACAAGCCCAACGGTGTGGATCGCGAGGTCCACACACAGGGCTAGCGGGAATTAATTCTGCAAAGTCCAGGGGCGAGTTCGTTTCGTCACAAAGTATTTAAATTATGCTATCCTGCGAATCGTAGGGACTGCGAGAGCCCTCAACCATATTAACCCCGCCTTCGGGCTCGCGGTTGCTGGTTCAACGTCCTGCCCGCAAGAGCAGTGCCGTCAGGCGTGAGATACGGTGCTGCTAAAACCAAACAAAACTAATATTTGAATATCTGAATTTTAACCTGCCGAGTGGGACGGCGGCCGCAAGGTCGCCGTCCCTGAAACTCAAAAAGTGGGACGATGTGGTCAGACCATACCGCCGAAAGTAATGGTGAGTGGAGACAAGGGGCGCGGGAAATCTATTTACCTGCAATCCTGACGGAAGCTTGCATTTACAGAGGGGTGATGGCCCGCTGGGAGTCCGCCGTCCGACTCTGCGGTTCCCACCCCCTTGGGTGGCGGGGGGCGCCCTCTGCGGCGAGGACCAGCAGCTCCACCCCCAACATTGCTCCCAGTTCCCTGTTGGGAGGCACCACCGAGCCTCCCTGTCCCCTCCCCATCCCGGTTGACGCCCGATTGACGACTGGTTGGTCCCTGGCCGGGCATGCACCGCCGGCGGATACACACTTCGCCGTCTCCCACTGTCGTTCGCAGCCGGAGGTCCCCGCCGTCTCCGCCACCCTCCTGGTGTGCTCCCCTGGGTGTCCCACCCGACCCCATCCTGCCGTACCTCCCACGACTCGCCCCACAGAGCTCCCCGGCGCCACCCGGAGCCGGCCCTGGGTCCCGATCTGTCCTGTGGACGCCGGCCCCGGCTCCTCCCGAGCTCGCCACCCGACGGGGACCCCAGAGTCGGGCGGCGCCTTCCGCCCACACCGTCGGCCGGCAGTCCACCCAAGGGTACCGGGACCCCGCCACCCATTCCAGGTCCCACCCCGTCGCTGGAAGAGGTCTACCCCCGAGGGTGGCCCAGCCGCCGCCACAGGGTTAGCCGGCCCCACGGACTGGTGCCAGCAGCCGCGGTAATTCCAGCTCCAATAGCGTATATTAAAGTTGTTGCAGTTAAAAAGCTCGTAGTTGGATCTGTGGCGTACGGTGGGCTCTGGGCACTTGTTGTCTGAGTAGCTTGCCGTTGCCATCCTTGGGTGGAACCTGTGTGGCATTAGGTTGTCGTGCAGGGGATGCCCATCGTTTACTGTGAAAAAATTAGAGTGTTCAAAGCAGGCTTATGCCGTTGAATATATTAGCATGGAATAATGAGATAGGATTTAGAGTGTGAGATAATGTCTTCCTCGACATCATAATGGGGTCTCGTAATAGAGTCTGGGTTAATGAGATGGTTAATGGGGGTTCTAATTTTGCAGGAGAGACGTTAGGGCTTAGGTCCAAAGTGTGCTGTGGCATAAAATGTAGATGATGTCATGGCAGCGTTGAGATTTCAAAAAAAAAACTGCTGGTGGTTTCGTCACGCCTGCCTGGTATCCATCTCTAAGCAAATGTCAAACTGCAAACGATAATTGCTCCAGAAAATTCTTCTGCCAAACAATGAATCGACTCTGCGAGCCATTCTGTGCAGTTTTCAGGTGCTTTTGGCAGAAAAAAAGTCATCTGCCAGAGAAAAACACCCTCCCGGCAGAAAAAAAATCTCCCGGCAGAAAAAAAACTCTCGGCAGAAAAAGCCATGCCGGCTTTTGGAACTGCAGAGTTTGAGGGCTTCTGCAGAGTGCACGCCAGCCTGCTTCAGGAAAAAAGTGTTTTCTGCGGACCCAAAAAGGGCGTTTCTGCAGAGTTTTTCATTCCCAGTGATCTGCCACAACTGATTCCTCCTCTTTCAGTCTGGTGATGTGCACTGTGTGTCTTGTCATGAACTGGTGGGCAAGGATGGCCTCGTATGGTTCTCTGGTACAGCTTGAATATCGGGGGCACATTAGAAGATGCAAAGCATCCTCATGAACTCCAGGATTGCCTCCGATGTGGAAGGGGTATCCTTCTGTGCAAGAGTAAAATGCCACCCAGCAGGCTTCTCCAATGGGCAGTCCACCCGAAAGAGAGATACTGGACGCCTCGATAAGAAATCTATTGATGGCTCGAACAAGCTTAATCTTCCTGTCAGTTTCGATCTGCTCAAATCTGTACCAGTGGTAAGTCTCGTTGTGTTCCTCGTTGAGGGAAAGAATGTCGCCTGATATCCCATCTGTTCCTGTTATTCGCAGCAGGGACTGCCATATCATCAGGTTTTCGTGCAACAGGTCCTCTAGCTCCATTCCATTGTCTCTACCTTCCATTGTTCGGAATGCCAAATGGTATAGTTGTCATTGGAAGCAGAAGTGCACAACAGTGGAGGGACGAGCATGGCAACTCAATCTGGAGCGTTTTTGCTATCTACAACATGACAAAAATCCAGTCCCAGTCTGATTCCAGAGATGGTTCTAACTACTGACCCGAATCTATTTCGGCCGTCAGATCAGTTCAGTTCCTTTCCCCGCGGATCCTTCTTGCGAGTTGAATATCTTTGGGCATGATTGTCACACGCTTCGCGTGAATAGCACATATGTTCGTGTCTTCGAACAGGCCAACTAGGTAGGCTTCAGAGGCCTCCTGCAAGGCCATGACCGCAGTGGACTGGAAACGAAGATCTGACTTGTAATCTTGGGATATCTCCCGCACCAGACGCTGGAACGGCAGCTTCTTGATGAGGAGGTCGGTGCTTTTCTGAAACTTACGAATCTCTCTCAAGGCCACAGTACCGGGGCGGTATCTGTGGGGCTTCTTGACACCAGCGACAGTTCATCCACTTTGCCTTGCCGCTTTTGTGCTCGGCTGCTTTCTTCGAGCTTTGCCCCCAGTACTTTTGTGAGCGGTCTGTTTTGTTCTGTGACAGAAAACAAATGGTAAATGGAGCAGAGTCTGGATCAATCAAACATACGTGCACATAAAGGGTTCCTCACCTAGCCATGTTGCAAAAAGTGAGCACTGCCATATCTGCGGTGATCTAATAGCTGCATGGGTAGATACACCAAATGTTTCCGCAAGATAAGGTAATTACACCAGGTGTTCTCCCTGTGACTTAAGATACTTAAGCTGCCGGTCACCAAGAACCTGGTTTGTCTAATTGTCTAATTACAGATCCTGTCGCTTTGTCTAATTACAGATGACTTTACAGTTACACAGACGACTTTTATAGTTACACAGATCCTTTTGTGTTGTGTAACTAGGAAGTAAGATGCCATGCCCTCGATCGCATTATCCTTACTAAATCAAGGCCACAACCATCATAATTTTGTCGAGTCTAGACAAACCCTAGACAAACCCAACATTGATATCGGCCAAAATCAGCGGCTCCATCCAAGGTGGACGGAAATAATCAACAACAGACTCCAGGCAGCGGGGTGCAGGACTGTGGGTTCGCGGGAAGGGACATAGATTCCCCTCCAACAAGGACCTCGACTCTGTCGCTTCGGATAGTGTGCAGGACTGTGGGTTCGCGGGAAGGGACACAGATTCCCCTCCAACAAGGACCTCGACTCTGTCGCTTTTGCTTGGTGCGTGCCCAAAGATGGATCACCCCCCGGTACTAATCGAGAACACAGAGGAGCTGCAAGACGCAGGAACACACTGCCAATGGAACAAGTCCAGATCCGGAACCGATGACGACTCGACACTTACAGAAGACACTGCCCCCTTTTCAGTCCCCAATGTGGCATCGCGCTTAGAGGGCCTGCACATAAGCGTCCATCAAGACAGCAAAACAGCAGTTACCGAGGACGACACCACTGTCCCAGATGTTGTCGTTTATCAAGCAAGAGTAGTCAGCGATCCATCAAGAGACAAAGTTCCTCCGCCACCCCTTCGAGAGCTCATCGCAAAGAATCTTGGCAGTCTTGCCGAATATCAAAAGTCTCATCCAACTCTAAATCTAACATTTCTTGAGAGAGAGTTGAGTGCTCTCCGGAACAAGCTTGGAGATTCCCAGACAGAGAACGAGTCCGCAGAAATAAGACGCTTGATCAGCGACAAGTGGTGGTGTATCAATAACATTGAGCGGCTTGTACTTGTTGAGCAAGCACTCCAGCATCCTGAGCTTGTACAGGAATTTCGCAGAGTCGAGGGTGACGGTTGGCACGGAAGGATATGGTGTGCCAACTCGACAATACTCGAAACAGATCTATAGGACAAGTACGTGAGATCAATTCTCACCCACACTGCCTATTTGGACGAAAGGTACCGAGTCGGTGGGTGGGCTTCAGTGCAGAAGTATGATCTGAAGAAAAACTCAATACAACACAATTCGACTCAATTGAGTTCATAGACGGACAAATCACAGTAATGGACTGCAGTGGCGCTGGTACGACGGTGTCCATGAACTGGGCAAAACAACACATACCGAGAGATACACTTGATAATGTCAAAAAAACAGGAGTACGATGCCACTTGCCTGTGGGATCGAGGGGTCGCATTATTTATTGGCGTCCCCAGACAAATTCAAGTCCTCCTGTTCACTACCAGAATCAAACCAACAACGATGGGATGTGTCTTGTAAGCTCCTTCACGAGCGCCCTTTGCCATGTTGGGTTTTCTAAGGAGGCAGAGGAAATACTCTCACTTTACTCCAAGACTCCATGCCTCGGTCAGAGGCAGCGACAGATGAAGGTCTTCCTGGACGCCGTGATGAAGACTTTCAAAGCCAAAGAAGAGAGCTACGGCAGAGTGCAGATGAGACAAAAACACAGAGAGAGGTTCAACCCACTGAGGTAGGATAATCCACTGGAGCTGCCAGTTGTTGCTGTCATCAAAGCCCGCCACATTGGGAAGAACGGCAAGATGAGCACAGTAGGAGTGAACCATGATGTCAGCTTCGTAGGCAGCTACATATTCGATTCCAATCTACCCTTCGTGCTTGACATTACAAGGGAGTCCCTAGATCGAGTGTGCAGCAATGTCATGGAGGGGAGCAAGTACAAGGGGATATACTGGGACCGGGCACTTTCTCTAGGTGGGGCCAAGAAGTAGATAACGAGAGCTTGTGTTTCCTTACATTGATTCCAATCCAACTAGTTGAACTCCAGAACTTTTGAAGACAGCCACGAATCTACACTTACAGAAGACACTGAAACTGAACTATAGGGGCATTTTATCTACCTACCCAACAGATGGTCAAGTAAGTTTCAGGGAGATCCGGGAGACATACGATTTTAGCTACGTTCTTCGGCTGCAAGGTTAACTTCATGAACAACGTCGTCCAAATCCAACGCGTTGTACACATTCAATCTCCCAGTCCAAAAGACTTGCACGTCACCCAAGATATAAACAGTCGTGCTGATTACATGCTTGATAGCGAAAGTAGTCTCGAGTGCATCCGCGTGATAATGAGCATCTCCCACGGGAAGTAGGGGAACAAGGGAAGGGTTCACCTCGTGATTCTGGTGATCATCGGGGAGTGGGTTTTGGTTAGTGAAGGACTCCACGTATAGCTGGAAAGCATTAGTGTCGCCATTGACTTGGGAGCCATGCAAGTAACCAAGGTAGAAAGAGAGAGCTCTTTCGCCACAATTGCAATTGAGCGCCTCCAACGTTGCTGCGAACCCAGTGAAGTGCAAAAAGAAATAGACAAGTTTCTTTACCAAGCAGTAGTCATGTCCAAAGATGACGGCGACTGACAACTCATAGTTGGATGCATTGATACCATAAGGTGATTCATTAAAAAACTCGCATAGGAAAAGGCCAAGGTGATTGATGTCCACAACACCAAAAACATCACGCATCAGTCTGACAGTGTGGGGCTCGACTCCCAGAAAAATCAGGAGGTAATGAATCATTGGCGTTTTGTTTTGGTCCATGGTCGATTGTTTTTTGTCTCTCTGTGGATCAAAAAGGGTGCTATCTAGGCTTTTTCGATTTGATTTTGTGGCTACAAAGAGACTGTGATCTCGACCACTGCCACCCAATGACAAACGATGTCAGTAAGGGGCGTTTCTTTTTTTAAATACTGGAGCGTGGAAGTTGGGTGTGTCGCATGTGGACTCCGA